TGAAAGAGCATGCAATTACACCAAAAATGCTGAAGGAATCAACCAGTGGCAAAAAACAGCTGATGCCATAAAATGGTTTAATAACATAAAAAAGAAATATGAATGTACATTCATATAATTCTATATTTGTAACTTCTACCTGTTCATCACCAAGAGGATACTAATAGCGGCTATAAAGCTAGCTAGAGATTATTACCCTATTAGTGATCAGGAAATTAATATCATAAAGCAGGCACAAACACCAGTACTTTTCCCCAACGATTGTCTGTGGACTAAGAGAAACAACCCTGAGTTTAATGTTGCTATGGGTGCATCTGATTCTACAGAAGCATGTAATATTGTTGGAACTCTGTTGCTGTGGTGTCTTAGATTTATGTTTGACATTAAGGACACTGGACAATATAGGGATGATGCTGTAATTCTCCTCTGGAAAACTAGCCTATGCAATATAGACTAATTGAGAAAAGAACTTATAAAACTTTTTAAGGATTATTATCTTGTTGTAAAACAGAATTATGGTAATGAAATCAGCAAAACAAAGTAATTATTACTATTACTACTGCACAGATTTATCTGAACTATTTTCATCTTTTTTAGATAGGTTAGCCTATTGTCCAGTTCACACTCCTCCCCAGTCTTTTGAACAGAAGTAGAGATTTATCACTTGTTTCCGGATACTTCTAAAGTCTTCTCATTCTCTTACACTCTTAGTGAAATTATTGCTTTCTCTGAATTTCTAATCAAATCCCTATTCAATACACAGAGATAGACTGTCTTCATTTTCTTGTTCATGATTGAAGATATCTTACATTACATTAGTTATATTGATAATTATGAAGATAATGATAATATTTGCCATTTTCTTATGAGGAAACATTTGGCATTCACTGACCGAGCAGCCACTGCTACTTTAGTTATACTTTTCTTAACTCCCTGGCCACTTGGCTGTGATCAAAGTGTAGCATCATTTCTCTTCATCTCTAATTAGGCAGGTGGTTAGAACATTCGCTTTCTGACCATGGGACCTGAGTTCGAATCTTACTGTGGTCGATTTGTCAGGAAGGTGACTTCTTGATGTCATCAGTCTGGAGGAGGTGATCTCAGCATGTGGCACCTTTGAAAAGTGCCTGAAAATCATACCACGAGTTGATCATAGCCTTGTGAGTGAAAACGGCTAGACAGACCACTTTGAGCAGCTGTCGATGGTTGCACTAGTACAAAGTCACAAGTCATTATGACCGAAGGTTTGAGTGTGCTGGCTTTTTTTCAAACTGTTGGTCATGCTATATAACATGCTCTCTCCCAGAAACTGTAACTAAGGTTCGCTCAGGATAGTTGCTATATAAACCACTATATAAGCAATACAGGTGGAGCGGTTTGTTTTTTTTGCTCATGTCCTGTCCTATTTGTTATACACTGTTGGAGAGACAGTTAATTAACCAATTCAGATTTTTGCTGTGCTTTCTCTGTAGGTGAACGAGAGATAGGTATTGAACAAACACAAATATATCTGAGCTGGTGGTTGCTAAAGGAATTAGCTATCCGCCATAGTAGACAGGCGTCCTCGGATATAGAGTGGCTAGCCATTCATCTCTTATGGTAATATTAGTTGTTTCCTTATATGGAAACATACAGCATTCATTGATCAAGCAGCCAGTGGTTGAAAAGGAAACCAGCAAGGAGTCAGAAACATTTCAAAATAACTTGGGAGTTTCTGGGTTTTGTCACATGGTATAGGTTAGTGAAGGTTAGTAAATGGACTGCTCTGAAGCAGACTTCTACAACAACTGACTTTGCCAGCCAACCTGCTTAATTTTGTCACCAAACAACAAATAAGGATATTCAAATGAAAGACCTCCACTTGTAAAGTCATCTGAACCCATCAAAGACCTCTTTGAAGTCTTTTATCTAAATGACCCAAAACTCAGAGAAGATTCTTTCATAAAAACAGATTCTTTTAACACCAACATCACTTTGTTGGTATACTGTTTTATCAGTCAATAACGGCAGTAGTAGTAGTAATAATAATAATAAGCATTCATCTCTGAAATTCATACAACAAACATGGAACAATAGCCTTGTGAGTTCAATCCCTGGGCTGAGCAATGTGTATTTTCACTAAGTGTCTATGTGTACTAAGCAGAAACAGGGTGAGAAAAAAACTGAGTAGTTATTGTGGTGTGGGACTTAGGTCTTGAAATGAATAGTTGATTTAACCATACCAAGAAGATTAAGGAAGAATGATAATGTTGAGGAAACATATGGGTAATTTTAACAAAACAAGATAAGGAATTTATTCATGAATTTATATGCTTGAAGTTGTGTCAGTAGCTTGTTTCAGGAAAATAAATCAGAATTCTTAAAGTCCGTAGTTTCAACATTGTCATGAAGAAATGTTCATACAACAGATTAAATGATCTGACACAAAATAATATTAAAAAAATGTTTAGAAATGTAAGAGAGTTCATTGCTTACCAAAGGGATATATGTTTTGTAAGCATTCGAAGGTAGGTTGTGAGGAAATGAAACAAAACCTTTCACATAACTTCAGACACTCTCTTGATTAATTTTTCCCCTCATTTTATATAAAAATGAATTTCATATATGCTTGGTACTTTCTTTCTGGGCTCACTGGCCAATTTCATTGGTTCAAAAATAATTTCACATATGTTTGCAAATTTCTTTCCTTCTTCCTCAGTCCTTCAAATATGAAGGGAGTGGGGAATGGGAGTTATTGTTTTGCACTCACCACACAGTACTAAATAAGAACTAGACAATTGAGTCATTGATCTGCTTTTTAGAGGTTATTTAAAGCAAGAAAATATTTTGGTTTGCAAGACTAATTCTCTCTTGTAATTGAATATTGTATTAACAATTTTTGGGAGATAACAGTGATTTTTTTTTTCCAGATAAAAGACCCACTATTTGTATTATTTAACTCATATGAGAAAGATGTACCTAGGCATTGTCAGGAGAATGAGAACAATCTACCCTCATAGATAAAGGGTTCAGTTCAAAATTCCCTGAAGGTTATCTGGATTGGCATAAACCTGATGAAGGCTGGAGGGCATAATGGCTGAAACATTGTTATAACAACAACAAAGATGAGAACAATAGTCCACTTGTAAATAATGTAAATAACAATGGGTTCAATTGTCCAAATAAATCTTTGATTACTCTTCTAAAAGACAATGTTCTGTCTTTATGTATTTGTATGTTCAAAACAGATGTTTAGCAGTTATGGTTGAGGAATAAGTGACAACAAGACTTCTCAATATATCCAACAATTTTTTTCTGTCTCCTTGCAAGTCCCAGTAAAACTATGATCTGTACTGCCTTAAACATTTTTCAGATTTTCAACTCCTTATCTTGATACATTTCCAATTGTACTCATGTATGTACGGGTGGCATAGTGAGCTCAGTTTGAATTCTGGTCAAATTTGTTACATTCAGTTATGTCCTAATAGGATAGGTATGACTATCTCTTTTCTCCCAGTGATGAGTTAAATAGTACAACTTGTTTCTTGAAAAATCATTGTTCTCTAAAAAAAAAAAAAATTGTTAATCTGATATTCTTTTGCAAAAAAAAAAATATAAAAAAAAAAAAAAAAAGAATAAAATTATTCTTATAATCCAAAATAACTCAAAAAGGGTTGATAAGCCACAAAAAAAAAAAAAAAAAAAAAAAATCAGTTGCACTCACATTTCTATTCTAACCTATTTTCTGGACATGATTTGATTCTAACATATTCTTCTCAGCTCATGGGCAAGGTCCTGGTGTTTTTTCAATTTTTTACTTCCATTCATGTTTACACTGTTTCCTGCTGGCATGGCCATGTCTATTTTATTTAACTTTATCTACCTTTTTAAGAGAAAAAAAAAACAAAAAAAACTGTAAATATTACCAAAGATAAGAGTTAGTATTTTAACAACAGCATCCGTGCCAGAACTTTTTTTCTTGATTGCATGGAAGATGGCTAATTCCAAAAATATCTTTATATAAATAAATCTTTTGTTAATCTCTTTATAGTTAGTGTAGGAAGGAGTTGATTGTCATGGTAATAATCCAAGGTTTCACATATTGCCTTCAGCTGTGCTTTTTTGCACCATAAAGCTGTTTATTTGCACAGAATTGCATAAGTCATCTCCTTTATGAAAAGGGTAAAAGAACAGGCAATTACATAGCAGAAAACCTTAATGAATTCTTAAAATACATTTTTAAGAATTGTGCTACATTACAAGTACATGGGTGGAGCTGAATTATTTAATTAGAAATCTAAAAAAAAAAAAAAAATTAAATGGTGAATAAAGTGGTCATCCTAACCCAAATTAATTGAGAAGTGTTTTTTTTTTTAAAAAAAAAAAGAAAAAAGAAGTTGTCAGCTGATCTTTTGAAGGTTCTTTTTTTCTGAGTAAATTTCAAGTTGTAATTTCCTCTAAGCTCTTTGTAAAACTGGACAAAATATGAATCATTATGTAAAATTATGCTTGATTAACAGATCTACTTTTAAAATCTAAACTTTAAATATGATACAGCTATACGTCAACCTTTTGTGGGTTATTTAAAGCTGAAACATATTTCAAATTCTAAGAATAATACTTTTCTGTGAGTGAATATTACATTAACAATATTTTGAGATTAACAATGATTTTTCCAGATAGAAGTCATACTATTTAACCCATAGTTGGGGAGGAGAGGAATCTATACTTTTTTCAAAGGTATTTGCACATAAGTGAATATAATGAACCACAAGTGGAATTCATACTCAGGTCTCATTTCTCATTCTGAACCAATATCGATTACACCATCCACCATTGCTAGAGGAAGTCAGAGAATTTAAAATAAGGAATCTTGTCAAGTGTTCAATGTCTTTTTTTCACAATAGATGATGAGATCTATCAAACAGAGGAATATTTATTTATTTATATTACTACTCCAAACTATTAGACTAAGATCTCCAATATCAGTTTATAGGGATTGATAGGACTATTATAGGGTATCAATAAATGCATAGGGAGCAAAAATTGAATGATAAAAAAGGGAGGGGGCAAAAAGGGAGGCAAGAAAGGGAGGAGGGGGCAAAAAGGGAGGCAAGAAAGTGAGGAGGGGGCAAAAAGGGAGGCAAGAAAGGGAGGAGGGGCAAAAAGAGAGAAAATAAGAGAAAGGAACTTAATGCAATGGTGAAGATTTGAAAATCTTTAACAGAAGAATAAATGGTTTCATTTAAATGTTAAACTTCAAAAGCTTCAGTTATGTTTTATTTTCTTATATTAACATTAAAATTAAAGTTACATATTCACTAAAATAAGTGATACACCATTTTATTAATTTAAAAAAATTTTTTTTTTAATAATTTCACTTCAATCAAGATGATAATGCCGCTAAGATGCAGGCATTTACAGGGAGCGAAAAGCATGAGATGACTTTAGTTAGGAAAAGGACAATAAAGGAACAAGATTCAGGAAGGCAGAAGATGGTGGCTGACATTGCATTTATTTAGTCCAAATGGTTTCCACATGCCATGCCTTTTCAGGATATCTCAATTTCAGTTATTTCCCTTTAGTAATTCAACTCATCTCTGCTATGGCTGGATATGTGAACACAACTTTTTAGGTCAAGTCATTGGATTACTTCAACCAATGCTTTTATCCAAACAATCAACACTCTTATCCATTGTGCCACATATTCTTTGGTGACATTAGTGAATTTTTGGGGACTTATAAACCTAATATTTCAGTAACTATTTTTTTTACCAGAGCTCATATTGCAATTTAGGCAATTTTTTGTTATTAAATAAATGATTCAGTTCAAAATTCCAACTTATATTACCTGAAAAAGACTGTGGCATACAATGGCCCAAATGTCATGAACATGACAATAAAGATGAGGACAGTTGTCTGAACAATGTAAATAGTGTAAATAGTTACAATATAGACTGATAATCTTTAAAAAAAAGTTTTACTCTGACAGAAATTCATCAACATGGTATTTGGAATGTAAATTCACCACCAACATGCAAGTTCAGAACCAGAAGCTTCCAGTTTCATCAAAACCTGTTTCCGTCATCCATTCCCTATCATTGTTTGGTTTTGCAAGATTTGGTTGGAGATGAAAGAAAATCTAAGTAGAAGAAAGTGCCAACGGTGTGAATTTGTTTAAGGTGGACCTGAACTTGACAGAAAGTGACCTACACACTTGATTTCATTATCTTCCTCTGTGGCACATATGGAATGAGACATGCAGAATCCAGTTATGAAACTGCAATAGACTGCCGCTGAATATTATAATTTTGACTGACACCTTTTGTAGCATATCTGTCATGTGTAGCCCTCTTCATCTGCTGGCTGAACTGTTGAGGTCTGTTATAATTGTTCCACTGTTGAAGTCTTTGGGGTTGGTTGTGCTTAGTGTGGGTCCTCCTCTTCAACCTTGCTGTCAAGGGTGGCCCTACCAGGAGTTTAGAACTCCTGATGGCATCACTCATTGGAGTCATTGGACCATGCAAGTCCCTTCACCACAGGAACAACCATCAAAGTTACGCACATAGCAACAATGATTATAACAAAGATAATTTAAAAAAATGTAATGTCAATAAAAATAACAAGAACTAATAGGAATAAAGATTTGTTTTTTACAGGTTATCAACTTTTTGCAGGCTATTTAAAGTCCCAAATTATTTTTAGATTGTAAGAATTTTTTGCAGATAATGATTTACTGACAAAAGTCTTACTAATTAACTCATAGCCGGAGACAGGGGAAATAGATGGCTTTATACCATTCTTAAAGGAATTTGCACATATGTGACTATAACGAACCCAATTTCCAATTCCAAGCTATTATAAATTGCACAACCCACACATCCAAGCTTACATCAGCTGGTATTCCCAAATGGTCACCCATCAAGTACTGACTAGGCTCAACATTGCTTAACTTTGATAATGGTATGAGAACCAAAGTTTCAATATGATATGGCCATAAGTCAATGGTATTAAAGAACAGCACTAAAAATAACTAGCACTATAGATAAAAAATTCATGGTTTTCTTGATGAATCAATAATTTTTAGTTTAATTACCAAATAAGCACCTTGAAATTTCCTTGACTAGAGAAATTCCACAATTGCCTTGTTAAATATGTGTGCTTACCAACTTTAACAATATATTGCAATAACAATAATGGTAATATCTGTTTCCTTATAAGGATACATTTGGAATTCACTGATCGAGCAAGCAATTGCTACTTGACTTATGTTTTTCCATACTCCCTGGTCATCAGACTCTGATCAATGTGTAATATCTGTTTTCATCTCTAATACTAATTTTAACTGTTCCCTTATAAGGAGAACATTTGGCAATTACTGATCCAACAACTAATGGCTCTAATTAATGGGGGCTTCCTTCCTAACCTTTTATTTGAAGTGGTGTGAAATGTTAGGATCTTGATTATATCATTATTCTCTTCAAGATGATATTCATTTTAGTTGTTGCTGCTGTTAAAAATTTTCAAGTGGGTAATTTCTATCACCTGGTACATTTTTTTGTGATTCTGTAGCACCAGTCTAAGATCATTTGCTTGAGGCCATTTTTGACCATTGATCTGAGAAAACAGTTGTATAAAGCTGACAGTTTAGATATTTAATGCAGGTCATAATTTAAAGAAGTAAGGGGATACAAATGAAAATATTAGAAATTGACATTTTTTCTATTTCACATAAGCAGATGTTAAATGCATGAGGGCATTATCACCTCTTCTATAGTCCCTTTCTTTCTTATAATAACTTATGCTTTCTTTTCCTCATTCAAACCAAACTGTGTAATAGAGAAATCTTTTTCTTCCATCTTTGCTCACATTCACAACCAAAACAAAATGGTCCATCATTTATTTGAGGTAATGAGAGAGCATAACGCACATGCTAACTTAAATGGAGGAAAATGCAGTATAATTATAATTGACATATTAGCCATTGTGATTAAAAACAAGAAAAAAAATGCCGTCTCATTGATATGGCAATGACAGCAGATAAAAAAATATATATCTGTTAAAGAATATGATAAAAAATTGAGGATATTGGAATTGAAAAAAATGTGAAAAGTAGTCTTATAACTTTAATAATTGGATCATTGGGTACAATCAAGAAAAGTACAGGCAAGAATGGATTTAAATTTCAAATAAAAAGATCTCCACTTTGTAATATTTACTTTTTTTTTAAGACTATTCAGTTCATAGACCCAGAAAATATGACACACAATCATTTTGAAAACGTGGGTTTAATCCAAAATTCTTGGGCATTCCAACCAAGCTGTTTCTAAACGCCTTTTCTACAATTGCAGCAATGAGAAGTGATGTTTGTTGGTAGGATGGATCCCCCTGTTCCTCAAGAGGTCCAGAATTGGCTTCAAGAATATAAAGCTGGGAAGTGATCTTGGTTTTCATGCTCAGTGAAGCCAGGACCCGGTCCAGGCTTCACTTATGAATAAATTCTTTTTAGTCACTTATGAATAAATTCTTAAGGCAATAATTTTATGTACAAGTCCCGGATCCCGTCCGTTCGACCAACAAACAAGCAATATACTTGCTATTTGGTAATGAAATGTTTCTTTTCTTTTTTTTTAACTTCATTCAGAAAATTACACTATTGAAAACAGAAAACTTCTATAAAAACTGAAAGATATATAATTGAAAATTAGATTTTAAATGAAGATAAACAAGCACTTTTTTAAACACAATTTTTACTTAAAAAGTTAAGTTTAGTAAAGTAAGTCTTCTCAAAATGTCCAAGTCGCCAGTAATTACACTTTAAGAAGCAATAATTAATTATTATTATCATCATCCCAAAAAATACTAAATTACTTTATTTCAAGTACAATTTTGTGCAGAAATTTTTTTAAAGGTTGTAAATGAATGTAATGTAAATCATGTAATTTCTTTTCAATATAAAAATAAAAAATAAAACTTATTTTGAGGAAAGAAACGCATCAACTGGCTCTTTTTTTACAGAGTCAGCAAAAATGAAAAGGTCAAATACAAATTAAATTCTAATAAATTTACTAACATAACAAATATAGCATACTTTAAAAAATCTATCCTAACCAATAATTTTCTTTCTACTACTACACTGTGAGTGCGCGCGCGTGCACAATTGTATATCCATATACAATCGCAAAGATGCGTTAGGGTGCGTCATCAGTGATGTCAATATTGGATTCATTGATTGTTCCGGGTCTTTTAACATGTATTTTATTTATTTATTGAAGGTCGCAGAAAATTTATCGGTTCGTTCCACTTACTAAAATTTGATTCAGATTTTTTTTTTCTATCCGTTCTTGGTCGGGTCGAGAACTTTTCACCTGATCTAGCCACTTCTTGAGTGCGGATAATTTTTTTTTAATATTCATGCTGCAAACGACGCAGTGTGTATGTGTGTACGTTATTTTTTTACAGGTACCATTGCTAGTTTAATATTGGATGTTTTACTTTAGAATGCCCGAGTTCCTTTGTACATCTTCTTGGGCAGATCATTTTTTTTTAAAAATCATAAATACCTGACACCCCCAGAAAGAGACAAGAACACATTAAAGCTATTTAAAATATTGTAATAATTTTTTAAACTGAAAGAAAAGTGAACTTTTCCCCCCATCTAAACATAAGAAAACAAACATAAATTTTAATTTTACGCAAGTTAAGTGAAATTTGAACCATGATAAAAATAGGAATTTATTTACTCAAAAATACTATTTTCAAGTGGAAATAACCAAAACAAACAAAAATAAGTTTTTCGGAAATAGAATCTTTTAGTTAGCGATTTATTTATTTATTTTTTTTTTGAAATGAAATTTTTGTTGGCTAAAATATTGAAAAGAAAGAAAAAAAATCAGTGGGAGCATTTTTAAATCCGACTATTGTTTTTTTCTGTTATTTTTTAATAACCAAGAATTCTCAATAAAAGGATAAATAAATTAAAAAACCATATTCAGCATTTAAGTGAAGTCATTTAAAAAAAAATTGACAGTACGAAAATAAATTTAAATATTTTATTTTTAAATATAAAACAACCAAAAAATCTGTTTTGATCAAGATTTCACTTTAACTTAGGCCAAAATTAAATAATTAAAAAGAAAGACTAAAATGATTTTATTTTTAACATTTTTTTTTTAAATGGACATTATTGAAACTACGTTGTAGTGACGTGATTTCTTTCATCATAAAAAAATCTTAGCGGTTTAGGTTTATATTTTTAAAGTTATTTGAAATGAAATAGACGTAGTAAGTACTGATAATATCGCTAATAATAGCCATTTTTAGTAATTAAAATGAAATTTTCCCTAAATAAAAAAATAAATAAATAAAAATTTTAAAAAAGAGTTCATTACTTTTTTTTCCAAGGATGACAACAACAATTTATTCAAAATCGCAAAATTCTTTTCTGTAATTAAAATAAATGTTAGTAGAGAATATTTTTAGAAAAATATTACTTACCCAAACTGAATTAAAGTAATCAAGTGCCGCGTAGAGAAAAACGAAGAAAGAATAAATCCAAGAAAAAATAGAGTCTATGAGTCCAAAATAATAAAGCAAATTCAGAAATGGAAGTCCAACCGTTCCTACCAGGATTAATTTCAGGTGATTCTTTAGGGTTGCGCTGACCATTTCGGACACATCGTGGACGGATTTGAGGGGCAACAGGACCAATCCGGCAGCAAAAGGAGTCCCGGATTGGTCAAGTCCCTGTAGCCAACTCCTCAGGCCACTGGTCAGTGTTCTTTTGAATGGATAGAGGAAAGTACCACACAGGACGGCCCAGAGGAGCGGCCTTAGAAAGGCTTGCAGGACAAAATAGCCGGCCACAACGACCAGACTAGCAAAAATGACAAAGAAATTAGCCGCAGTATTGTATAGGGCCTTTTTGAGGGCCTTTTCATGTCCTTGGGGTAATATTTGGAAGACATTGTCGAAAGACGAGCGAAAGTATTCGAACGATGGTGAAGCCATCTTTTTGCCTGGTTGTTGGTGGCGCTGCTGAGACTGGGGTGGTTGCTGAAGCTGGGGTGGTTGATGAGGCAGGGGCATGATTGCGCTTGGCTAACCCTCACGACACACACAACACCACACCATCGTTATTATTATTATTACTGCATTACTCCTATCGATAGTGAGACACACACATGCAGTCAGCTATACACATAACACTAACAGGGATAATGACGGCAGGGTGGATAGGAAAGAGTTTGTTTTTCAAACTGTTGTTGTTGATACTTGCGCACTCATCGGTTCACTACTCACCGATACAACAATATTTATTTACGGTGCAGGCAAAAATAATCCACTCTCATTTAAAATTCCAGATTGAATAGGATTAAAAGTTTATTCAAATATGAGCTTGAACTACTTCACCTTTTGAAACTCATCACCTCGTTGTATTAAAATAAAAATATCTATTCATAATTCTACCGAGTCTGTAGATCCAGATAAAATGGCACATAGGAATAAAATAAAATGGCACATTTATTTTTATTTTTAAATTTTACTTATGAATTGTGAATCATGATAAAAAAAAAGAAGAGTACAAGAAGAGACAATAAAAGATTCACTAAATGCAATTTTTGCTGTTTCGTGCGATTGAAAACAGATCGTTGGTGTTATTTTCGCGTAAAAAATCAAAAGTTTTCATTTATGCTTCGTTTTCGTCTGGTAAGGATAAAAAAGTGAAACTTAAAGAAAATATCCCTTGTTTTTTTTATCAATCAATCATGCGTGTAATCAATCAATCAATCAATCAATCAATCAATAAGGTACTACCAAAACAAATGGTTAGGTTTTTTCCGAAATGATATTAAAAATCGCGACATAAAAAAAAATTAAAAAATTGCCGTTTTGGTTTTCGGCAATTTCTTTAAACATGATGTCGCAATTTTTTTCAGGGAATTATCCGATTCAAACGAAATTTTCTGGACATTATTTTTTTTTACTGTAAAGGTGATTTTATTAAAACAACATAGATATCCGTGTACTTTTTAATTGGTGGGCGTAATTTCTTTTTTACAGTAATAATTGAAAAATCCCTGAAGACGTCATTTCAATAAAAGAAGAAAAAAAATGTATGATAACTATAACAAATTAACAATTTTTATAAATTTGGGAATAATTGAAATTAATTGTGAAATCCAGTGTAAGACACCCATGAAATAAAAATAATTGTTTGTACGGAAATTAAGGACCAACGTATATGAAATTGTCTTTATTATTAAGTGTTGGCAGAAGAATTATCATTGAACTTTTAAAACTAAAGGTAAGCTTTACTGCAATACTAAATGCAGCGATCAATTTTGAGTTCTTCTGTAGTTTATCTATCGCGTCTACTCCTCACTACCTATTGTGATGAAGGTTCAATCAAGAACTTTCCACAGAAGCTAAACTTAAATGCCACCCAATAGGGCGGCTTTTAAGATTATATATATATATATATATATATATATATATATATATATATATATATATATATATATATATATATATATATATATATATAATTATTTTTATAAAAAATTATAACATAAGTTAAAATCACTATATATATATATATATATATATATATATATATATATATATATATGTGAGTCCAAATGTAAACAAATGACGTCTTAAAAATAATTGTTGGATTTTTTTGTCCATTTCATAATGTGTGATATATTTTTTTATCTGGACTCACAAAAACGATTTCAGTTCATGAAATAAAGTTCATTCTCAGTGAAACAAATATTCTTCTAAGAAGGTGTTGTAGGTCGAAATTCTGTATAAGATGAGTTTAAAGAAACTTGTTGATTGAGAGAAAATGCAATCTTCACTTGAATATCGAAAAGTTGAATTAGCTTGTCGCTTAAATTGTTCACCGAAGAGAATTGAATATGAGTGAGAGAATTCTGGAAAGCTGAGAATATGTTAGTAAGAACTTTTTTTGAAGTAATATTTTTCGCTGGTGAAAAACTGGTAAAGAGTTATGTTTGTTGATGGAGAAAATCTCACTGTTAGAAGTTGAATAAATTTCTGTGTAAGGAATGAATGAGATGAGATTTGCAATGTTCGTACGTACATGTGTGCGCGTGTGTTACAGCGTTTGCCCAAAAGGGTCAAATCAAAACGTAATGTTTAACGCTACAATTGTGCAGTAAACTATTTCAAAATATCAACCAATAAAGATTTCAATTAAAACAGTCTGTATTTACATTTGGTACTTACATTTTGGTATCTTCAATTTTAATTGCACCCTTTTTCCATATGCAGTTTTTAAAGATTCTATTTATTTGTTATGCAAATTAAATGATACTTTTTTTGTAGTTGTCAGTGGGCTACCTTTGTCTCCTAGCAACCAGTAGTTTTAGACCCAGTCCGCCATTGATGTGCGTATTAGATTTTCCAAGCCCTCTTTCCTCATTTATGTATCTATCTCAGAATATTCAATTCTCTCAGAGTACAATACATGTATAAATTAAAAAAACTCAGTGAATTCAGAGAGGTAGGTGGTTAATAATTATTTTAAAATTCTTTTTTCAAATGCATAACTTAAATGATAGAGTTTTAGTAGTCGTTTTTGTCGAGAAGATATTTTCCGAAATATTCCAAATGTTTATGCCAGTACTTGAGAAAAGAAAAAAAATCCGAACGAGAAAAGATAAAATGAATTGATCGAAGGGAGATAACACATATTAGACAAACCTGGCTTGTGAAGCGCAAGAAGAAAATGGTATTTATTTTCAGTTCGGATAAAAAGAAAAGAAAAGTATTCTAAAGGACGAGTAATGAAATCCTAGTTACGAAATAGAGAAAAAAGATTTTCTATGCTCAGTTTAAAGCAACAATCAATTGATTAACAAATGGCTGTTTTTGTTCATTCCTGTAAAATTCGAAAATCATCTGTGAGTTTGGAGAATAAGTGAAGAAGGAATGACAAAATTAAACGAAGATGGTTTTACAATATTTAGTTCGGTTTATTGCCACATAGACCTATCTGTCTCAGTCAGTTCATTATCTATCTATCTATCTATCTATCTATCTATCTATCTATCTATCTATCTATCTATCTATCTATCTCACTGTGTTCATTATCTATCTATTTTTATTTAATGGGTGACTTTTGCTGGATTTCGCATTTAATTTCGATTATTCCCAAATTTATTTCCAAGTTATAATAGTTGTTATCATACCAAAAAAATCTGTCGCAAAAATCACCGAAGGTAATCGCAGTAATGAAAACTTGGGAATCTAAAATTTTAGGATTGCGGGTTCCAATCCGACACGGGATGTTTATAATTTGCTCGCAGTGTTGGCTTGATTCCAAAATGGTATGATATGTTGGGCTACGGTCTCTAGGAGTGAAGTTGAAAACACGGTCAATTTTATTTTGAAAAACTGTAATTTGAGAACAGTAATATTTTTTTTTTCATTTGAAATGAGCTATTGAAAGTTAGAGAGTTGTGTCCTTTTAAGTTGAAAATGCGTAACACAGTGAGATTCGCATTTATGATATAGATTATTATTAGTAGTACATTTTTAGTGGATTCACGTGTGTTTGAGGAACCATCACTGATTTTGATATAATCAGGGAAATTGACGTCGACAGTCTTTAAAGAAAATGCCTCTTAGCAGGGTTCAAATTTGCATTCCCTTTATTTAGCGAGGTTCATTTTCTTTATAAGACCTTTGAGTGCCCGGGCCAGTTGACCTCAATTTCATTGTTAAAAAATAGAGATGCCTACTCAAGCCCGTGTAGCCACTAAACCTAACGTCTACACAGTAATACGAAATAATGCTGATCCGCAACCATCTGGTACATCTGGTAGGATCTTCGCCAATTTTGACGTTGCTACAGTTGTGCCAATCTTCTCACTCACACCACCACTCACATGCTGAATATTCCCTATACTTACATAATATTTTTCTTACACTGCAAAACTTGAAAACATTTATTACCAGAAACTATTACGACCTTATTTCTTTCAGTGAACTTTGGAACAATTGATAGTTAAAAACTCTTGTTTTACTCAATGCATGCTTTTCTTTCACATCCTTGTTTGTACATCTTGTTAAATAAAAATTTTATGTGTAACGATGTCTTTGGCTTATCCTCTTTTTCTTCACGTCAGTTTGGTTTCCTAATCTAAGTTAAATAAATGTGGTGAAGTCCGCCACACAATGATATTTTAATAACAATAAAGGATCTTTTCTGTTAATTCACCCAAGATAAGAAAGAATTTATATTTACTAAAATTTGCACCAAATTCTCTCAGAGCGAAGCCCTTCCATTGCACTCCGGTTGAGTTAACCTTTGCGATCACCTAAAATGTGGGTGACTCGCAATTTCTAATTTTGGGGCTAGCATTCGCGATCACCCTGATAATCAAGTCAAAAACAGATTTATTTATTTATTTTTAAATTGTAAAAATTCCTCGTAAGTACCCTGAATATCATACGAGCTTACAAAATGTGAATAATACCCTGATTATTTGTAATTTTTCATTTTGCTAGTTGGAGTTGTTGTGAGGCATGCTAAAGAAAATTTTATTTAAAATTTATATTTTCAAAAGCGTATCAAAAATTTAATGAAATACAAACTTTGATTTAAAATTTGTAAATTGAAAAGAGTGCAAAACATTTAATAAAAAAAAACAAAACTGATTTAAAATTTATAATTTTTTGTGGTGAATTAATATTTACTATAAGTTGTGAATGCTGCTTGGGTTTATGCGTTGAGGTTATCAAATGTAACTGCGTGTTCTAAGAGCATTTACCTATTATATTTTTAATGATTCAAGAAAAACAAAAAAACAACGAGGCTCCAATTGTGCATAAACAATAAAATATATATTGAAACAATAACATACAAAACAATCATGCAATGGTGTGTCGTAATTAAGGGAGAAAAAGTTGCTTCCCTTCCATTGTATTCGGGTTAAGATTTAATGTTCAAAAGAGTTTCTCTTGAGTAAGAATGTTCAGGATTCTATGTTGAATAGAGTCTGGTGTTAGAATAGAATACAGTTAAGAAATATGTTGTTTTGAGTAAGTAAGAGAGA